AGAGAGAGAGAGAGAGGCTCAAGGCCTCCACCCCTGAAGGGGGAGACTTAAGGAAACAGAATGTGTAGTAAAGACTTTATGTAGTCAAGACTGAAGGACAGTCTTTGTAATATGTGAATAATGTAAATCATGTATATATAATAATGTAAATAGACACCTAGTATAGATAGGATAGGATGTACCGGGAGTGTAATTCATATTTATAATCCACCTCCCACATCCGATCCCGAGTAATCCTGACGAGCGAGGGCAGAACTGACACAGGCAGCAGTGGCAGCCGAAGACGGAGATAAGAATAGACAGGGATAGGCTCCTGCCACACAGGCAGAGTACGGTAGCCTCGACAGCAACGCCCTTTTAAGATAGAATGATAAAGTGTAATAAGTATTTAGACGCTACCTGTAAACTAAGGGAGGAGTGGTCAAGAAGGGGTATGACTACATGGCAGGGAGTAGTCCCCACAATTGAAAGAACAGAAAATAGATGGTGGCAGCTTGTATGACAGAAGGAAACTCCGATATAGGAGAATCCTAGCTAAGGCTAAGCTAGGATGATTGCGTTAACGCCTTACAGCATAACCAGTGGAGGCAAGGAGGGGTACCTGCACACCCCCGACGGCACGACGTTACCAGTAGTACCAGTTTACGACATAACCAGTGGAGGCGAGGAGGGGTAACTCCACGCTCCCCTACTTGCAGCGTTACAGTGGTAGCAGAGGAGGCTGACTCCACGCCCCCCTGCACCACGGCATTACAGCGGCGGCAGCGGGAGGGATACCTCCATTCCCCCCCTGCGCCGCTAGGACATTACAGGCATGTTCAACATTTTAGTAAACATTAGCACACACCCATAATCAGAACGGTATGTTCGACATCATAGTAAACACTAGTACACACCCACACATACATCATGACACACAAGGGGTATAAATACACGACACGGTATATCTTAGAATAGTACAACAACACAAAGTGCTCTACACAACGGAACCATGACACTAAATGTAAGACTAATAAGGAACTCACTGTCACGTAAAATTAGGATTATAGAAACATCGCATTGCTACTTCCTTTTCCACACACACTGAAGCTACATCGTGATGGACATTCTTCTCCCTTTAACGAGAAGAAATTTCAAGACACGATCCATTGGTTCTAGTTTTAACAAAAAGTTTTTATAACTTTACTTTCTGTGTTGAGGTCCGTTGCTAGGAGACGATTATTGGAAGACAGGGAATCCTAGTGCTTGTCCAAAGGTGAACTGGAATGTGTGTATATCAGCAATAGCGCTGTATTGCATGTACTTGGGTGTAATTAAGAGAGAGTGTGTAACCAAGCTGTTAATAAATCCAATCATCCGAAATAGAACCCGTCATTTCGTCACACGTACCCCTACACGTGAAATTAATGGCTTCGTAATAGCGGCTTCCTAAATGTTGATTCTGTCCTTCTGAATATGGTCAACCCGATCGAAACACGTCAAGAAAATTAAATATTGAAATACAACTTTTATAAATTAATCCCACTGAACGGTGCTGCAGGTACTTTAGATTATCAGTGAGTAACGAATGACCTCTGAATCGCACTGCTCGCCGTGAAACATAATGCCGTCAATCTGTCCACAAAATTAATAACACCCCTTTATTCCGAATTGTATCGGCCATCAAGTATAATGATTCATTGCCAAAATTCTTATGAGTATCGCAGCCAGCAGTGCACAGGTCGTCGTGAAGCGTAGTGTCGTGATCCGTTCAATAAAGTTAAGCTCTTCCCTGTATAACGAAACTCAAAATCTCGGCTCGGTTTTTCTTCAGAACGTAAAGTCTCACATTCGGAATGCCTTCAAAGAACGGCCTAGTATGAACGCAAATGGAAGAAGCGAACACTTCATAGCCCTACAGTTCGCCTTACGATCTGCTCTGGTGTGCGTCTTGTGTAATATTTGGATACGTTATTGTTATAGCGCAATTTTGATGCTTACATGTTTCGGTTCGGGGGAAAAAATTATGCTTTCTCTTGTGTTTTTATCATTTCGTGGTCGTTGGGAACCTACTCCCTAGTTGCAACACCAAGCCTATGGAAAATAGCGATTCACATTACGAAAATTCTCTTTACGAACTCTCTCCATGAATGTAACTATTCATAAGAATGGTGCCTGCCTACAAAAGCATAAGTATATGTTAAATTAATTCCTTTCAACACAACACTATTTCCAGAAGGTAGAGTTGCTGTGAATGATGACATATTTCCGCACATGTGTGCCCTCTTCTATTCCGGTTTTATTTAAAAATATTGCATCATGTACTTAGCAAAAATTGTCTTGGAAGTCGATGGCCACCCCCCGTGTGCTATACAGTACTTTTACGAGGGCTATTGAGAAAATAAACTCCGGTGAGCTGTAAACAATACAAACAATGAGAAAACAAAATTTATTATATACAAAATCCGTACATACTTAAGCTACTTCTCAACCTAGTCACCGCCCGAATTTAGTCAATAGTCGCATCGGGGAATAAGTTTTTGTGTGCCTGCATCAAAAAAGTCTTCCATCTGTGAGCTCAGCCACGTTTTGACACGTTCAATCAACTCCTCATTATTGTTGAAGCACTGTGATTACAACCACTTTGGTAGGTACGAGTAAACAGGCGGTAGTTGCTCGGAGCGAGATCAGGGCTGTAAGGAGGGTGGTCAAACAACTCCCAGTTGAAATGCTCCAGCAGTACTCGAGTGGTAGCAGCTGAATTAGGACGCACATTGTAATGGAGAAGCAATGCACCGAATGTCAGCATTCCACGTCTTTTTTCCTGAATGACTCTATACAGTTTTTAGTGTTTCGCAATACACTTGCGATAATATTGTGGCCATATTTGCATGAATTCCATCCTCACTAATCGTTTCCTTTCCTGTCCAAGAAAATAGTTGCCATCAGCTGTCTGGCAGACAATGTTTGTTTAAACTGTTTCGGCTGTTCCGTAAACATGTGTGCATCTACAGATTTGATTGCTCTTTGGTTTCAGCATTCACAAACGAACCCCTGGTTTCTTCACCTGTTACAAGATGTGTTTGAGAAATTGATCGCCATTTTCATGTTATCGCTCTAATAAAAGTCAATACTGAACTCATTCTCTGTGTTTTGTACTCATCCGTGAGCATTTTCGGAACCCATCTTGCGGAAAACTTGTGGTAGCATAACCTAACTGTGATAATTTCGTAGAGAAGAGAGCGTGAAATTTGTGGAAATTCACACGGCAATTCTGAAGTAGTGAAGCGCCGTCTTTCGCGAATTGTTTGGTCAACATTTATGAACAAGATCATCATTCAACACAAATGACTGACCACTTCGATCTTCATAATGAACATTTGTTCTCACGCCCATCTTTTGAAAGCGGATAACAGCGCTAATTTCGCAGCTGGTAGGATTACCAATCGCAGGGCACATCATAGCTCACTCTGCAGAGACAAGAACAAACACTAGGTGACCAGTGATATTTACAAGCCAATGAATCACATGACGCTACCTCGCATGCGCGACCTCTCCCCGCTCTTACATTTGTTGCCAAAAATAAGAAGAGGCATTTTTCGAATAGCCCTCGTACTATATACTAAAACAGGTTAGCTTTTTATCCTTGCAATAACATTATAGTTATTTTGCTGAAGTTGCAGATGTTGAGCGATAAGTATCATATACTCAGTAGGCACACGACAGCAGCTACTGAATAACACGTAGATCTCTGTTGCACACATGTACGTACACGTACTTAAAGTGGTGTAAACTGGCTTAGCATGCGCAAATACGCTGCAAGTAAGACATAACTCAGAGGACCGAACTTTGAGACTTATCTGAACACCAGCTCCATTTTTATAATTATTATTATTTTACTGCAATTGGGTGTTCATCCACTGGCAGTAGAACTTATACTGATACAGAAAAGGAAAGTCTATAACATAAGGGAACAATACAAAACAAAATACATACAATAAACAAGATACACACAGTGCAATTCCAAACATTTTACCACAAGATATACAAGTTATTAGGTTATTCACATTATAGTCTTCTGGATTATGTCACCGTTAGTTCCGGTAGGTGAACAGGAACGTTTCGGAAGAGCAACTGACTCCATCTAAACGTCCAAAGTTCGAATCTCAGCCAACGTGAAAACTTCAAGATTTCTAGGAAAGTGTAGCAAAAAAAAGTGTTTCCCTTGTACTTAATCTAGCAGCACTCCATAAACCATGTGGAGAAATGGAAGTATAGCTCCATGCATTCTTAATCTCGACATTAGTTGGACCGCTTTACCATCGAGGAAAAGCCATTTATAACACCGTCGCTCTAGACGTTGCCTGCAGTCCAACTTCAATTCCCAGGGCGTCCAACCGAGTCTAGTCGAGATTAACGTCATAACTGAAATGTCTTTTTTTGCATTTCGATTTGATTCCTCTCATCCTGTAACAATGTTGTAGTGGAGAACTATTGTAGCGTGTAGATCCGTTACTGGGTAACGACCTCTAAACAAACAACGAAACATCTATTGCTAGGCAACAGATTCTTAATAAGCAAGTATACACAGTCGTTACTGAGTAACGCCTTCGCAAACATGTTCCCACGGAAACGATTTGAGTAAAACAGTAAATGGTGATTTCTATGCGGTCCGTGCCAAGAGGTTATCACTGGGACAAATTTAGAAGTTAGTCAGTTGTAAGGGAGTTTGTGAAGAGAAGAATTAATCGGTGCCGTTGAACGGCAGGGGCAACGAAGTGAGCGCGGAGGCTCAAGAATCTCCATTGTTAAATCCGTTACAAGGGAACGACTGGTGAAGACACAAGAGATTGAGAAGACTTAACGTGTTCTATATTGATTAGTAAAATCTGGAAATCAGTGATGGCGCTATAACTACTTGCAGTTGCTTGTCGTGTGGTAAAGTGGTCAATAAATCCAATTTCCAATCCAAAACTCCATCTATAGCCACATTCATACACTTGACAATATGGACGAGTTTTAACATTATCATTAAACTGTCTGTCTGGGTCCTTTTCATCCCATAATAACAGCACAGCTTTTTTCCTCCCACCGCCCCTTTACAAAAAAAAACAAAACCTCTACCAACGAATCGAAAGGACATGATCACAAGTAGGCTTTCTTCTGTTCAAGACGGGCACTTACTCTTATAATAAAATCATTTTATAATATGCACTCATATATTTACGGTCCTCATCTCAAATAAGAAATCGGTGCATCATACTGACATTTCTTCCTTTTTCTGTCGTATGTTAAAGTACTATGCACATGTGTTAAGGGTCAAGATTAATTCTGCACAAACCAAGTTTCCCCCCCCCAAAAAAAAGTCCTCGTGGCACAGTATAAAAGAGAATTCTATGAAGACAACTTGATATACAGAGTCGTTTCTGCTAAATTATTTCTTTTATTTTCCAGGTTTTCACTAATTTTCTTTTTGAGGTAATTTTACATTAATTTCCAGCCTGCATTCTCGGAAGCAGAGGAATATTGCAGGAAAAGCGGGTCTCCGGTGTCCCTACTTTCCGTTTTACATAGGTTGTATTGTGCATGGGTTTGTGCTTGAAGACAAGGCGCTGATGAGAATATTTTAGTACTGAGAAACGCCAGGGTGGTGCATATGCGTTGACACCTCAAAGATCTCGCATCTAATTCTGCGGGAATGAGGCCAATCTTAAGGTGACTTCATCATTTCATGACATCTAAAGATACGAGATACATGCTTATTGGGTAGAAAATGTGTGGACGTTAACACTTCTTCTAATATTTATTACTCAACAAAATATATTTTACATGAAGCACAAATAAGACATCAGTTCACAATGTTCAGCAGATCTGTGTTTCTAATATATTACTCAAAACATACGTTTTAACACAACGGTCAGAAAACATGTAACAGCAATATTTACTTCACTTTGAAGGTTTGCTTCACAAGAGTATTTTGACTTATATTTGTACATCCTACATCTGTAGAATAATTGAATAATTACACAGATAATTCAGTAGAATAAGTTCACTTACCTAGGCCATTCCTTCTTAAGCAGTCTCGCTAAACGTCTAAGAATTTATTCTCTCAGAATTAAGTTTGAATCATTTTCATGCCAAGGAGCCTAATCAATCAAAACTGAAGAAGATTGTCACTTGTTTTCGTAAGCATCCAGAGAGTTCTGAAACTCTTTTAACTATAAAAGGAAGGTCATGAATTTATAACGATGTAAATTGAAATATGTTTTATAATTTAAAACAGTTGTACATATTGTGATGTCTGTAAAATATCCTTCAAAAAAACCCTCCGGTTTTAGTCTTTCACTTGCACTTCTTTGTAAAATATCTGCTTGAATTTAATGTTCAACCAAATTTTTAAAAGTCAATTCGAAAGGAAAATTTTATATAGGAAAATATTTTAAACGTATTTAATAGTTTTAAACAGAGAATACAACTGTCTGTAGAAAATTTCAAATTAGAAACTTCCTGTTGTTAATTTAAAATTTGTCTATTACAACATGCTGTAATTTTTATTGGGGGAAAGGTGAAACACAGTGTGCATTGTACTTGAGTAAATACGTTTGTTAACGTGTTGTCAGCACTTCATGTTGCGTCATGATATTTTTCTTTCCTACCCTACAATCGTTCCTTTATTTTCATTCTGAAAGGGTAAGGAGCAGTTGTAAATCCAGACTGCGGCATTGTACTGGGCTTTGGGTCTCCTTCTGGAATACTTAATGAGAATTCTTGGAAGAAGGTGGCGAAGAAGATGAACAGAATATTCCTCGCAAGAGATTCACCAAGGCAAAATCTTTTTCCACTTCCAAAATTTATCATCCAATCGTCTTTCATGAACTTGCCATTTGAATCGAGAAAACGCTCAGGGCGGAAAACTTCAGGATCGCCCCAGTGATCAGGATCAGAGAGCACGCCATATGAGCATATGATGACAGTTGTATCCTGTAATAAAGAAGCCACTTTTCGGAGATCAGAGGAACCAGTAAGAAGTAAAGCTAGAATCGATTTCTAAGTTTGCAGTATTGCTAAAAGGATTGACAATTAAATTCTGGGGCTGAGTCCATTAAGCGGATTTAAAAGCATGTAGGAAAATGTTTCAATTTGACCGTGTAAGATGACCCTTCCATCGCTTTCCTTGCAGAAGGACAGCCACTTCCCTCTTGTCGTTCCTGCTCAGTCGTGTTTAAGATTTTGTACCGTGCAGATCGATGTGACAGTTCGTAGTGACGGAGCAAAGAACGAACAATAAGATTTCTTTCAAGAAGGGCAAGACGACTACTTGAACTTTCTAGTAGATAAAGTAGGTTTGTGGTAACAATGTCCATCTCGTACACAGGTTTATGAATGGTATGCAAAATTTCGGAAAACTACATAATAAGGAACTTTAACCTCGTACTCTTCACGAGGAAGGCTTAAGAGTCATGTAACACAGGAATTGTTGGCATTGCATGGAAATGAGTTCAAAAAGGGTTTTCAGCAATTTTATGAGCGAGCACAAAGGCCTGTGACATCTAAAGAAGACTGATTTGATTTTTTTTAAAGATATGTTCGATTTTAAATGGGGTTTCTTAAATTTTATGCAACCCTGGAAGTTAATTTTCTAACTCTGTAAATGTTCGCACTCGAAATTGTCACGCATTCTATACTAATATTCTGACGCAATCTTATTAGCAATTTTAAAAATATATTTTTACACACATATAATCACGTACATATGCATATATACACATATTTATGCACACATAATATATATACACACACGTGTACATACTCATACGTGCACACACACACACATGCATGTGTCCACACGTACATATAAACCTACATACAAACATATGTAGACATGCATGCAATCACTTGCGAACACACATAAAATTAATGCGTTCTTATGCATAGGTAATGTAGTGAAGGATTAAACTGAAATTACTCTTTCGGCTCGATAAAAGATCATAAACAAAAATAAAACAAACAAACTCCGTGGTTTCAGTCCGCAAGCGAATTATACCGACCGAGCGACCGCCGCTTGTCGGCGAAGTTAGTGCCAACTTTTGCGGATAGTGTGTGTCACGTGGTCAGCGCAACGAATCCCTACGGCGGTTAATTTCGGTTTTCTAGACCGCAGCCGCTATTTCCTCGAAACAGCTCCTTAATTAGCCTCACGAGGCTGAGTAGACCCCATTCCAGACCCATTAGTTCTCAGAAAATCTAGTAGCGCCGGGAATCGACCCCGAACCACTGAATGTGTAGCCAGGAACTCTGACCATTAGAACACAGAGGCGGTCATCGATAAAAGATCATAGATCATAAGAAAGAAATTCTCTTTCGTCGGTGATGGGCTCAATGAGAATTATATTTACCTTGGGAATATCGTAACCATTGAGTTTTGTGTCCTTCAAAACCCTATGATGTGGGGTAAGTGGGGCTATTGGGTTGATGCGAAGCACTTCGGTGAGGGTAGCTTCAACGTAAGGCAATCTGGAAATGACACATATTTATTAATGCGTGCACTAACCCACTCCCAGATTAAGTCCATAGATAGAAATATATTAGACAAAACCACATTTTTTACTAATAAATAAGAAATTATTATGGATTGAGATTATATGTATAAGCCGTTACAGAAACAGACTAAACCAAAATGACACGAAATCAGAAACGACACATTTAAAGTAATCAAAATACAGATAAACTATCCCTGTAACAGGCCCTCGAGGCCCAGAAGGTTGTGAGATATTGAGGGTCCCACATTTTCTAGGACATCGGCTCACAGATGGAGGTGACTTTGTTAGTCTAGCGCGCCAGCCGCCCTCTACCCCCCAGGAGGATTCCTGGTACTCATTTCTGTTAGAGGCTGCGTCGACCTTAGGGCCATAGTGCGGCTGGAAGGATTAAGTCAATTGAAAAAAAATATTAATGATCTCACTGGAAATCTCAAATCCAAAACAGATCCTAAGATCGTGGTGATATTGTGAGAGGAAAAATTCTGAAATTGCTTGTTATTATTCTGTTCAGAACCCGTATCATTCCATTTCCCAAAATGCCGAAGATCATATGGCAATTTATTCCCAAATTTGTTTCCGGAGATGTTGTAAGGTAAACTAGTAATGACATGAGGCGGTCCTAATTAAGTGCTTGAAACAATCCCTTGCTTCTACACAAGTGGGAGGAGTGAACGGAATCCTTATGTTGGCAAGAGACACATTTATTTCGCTTTTGTTGACAATTAGTACGCCGTGTGGAGGAGGGTTAGAATACCTCCACCGTAGCCCTGCGAGTCACAGAAGGCGACGAAAAGGGAACCCGGTACCTGTGGAGTGTAACTGAACCAACCTGTCACAGGAAAACATGAAGACTGAGACATGGTCCTCCATGTTTCGGGTTTGACGCAAGGCTGACGTTTCTCTTCAAAAAAAGATTGTTGCGAAATCCATAGAAGTGAAAACTTGATGGTCTAATTCATTTTAATAGACAAATTTTGCAGAATCTTCTAAGGAAGGCTATGGCTCAAAAAGGGCTGTTTTGTCATTGATGATGATGATGATGATGATGATGACGATGATGATAAGGACGACGACTACCGGAAATATATCTCCGGCGCCAATAAATAGAAGTGTTTTGTATAGGACAACACATGGCCAATCGGACCACCGCGAACCCCTTACGGATGCACGGAGGCAGGAAGCATTAATACTTTCTATGTGACAGCTGGGATACGAACCCCCCACTCCAGAAATGTAGAGTATGTAATAGGATTTAAAAGCTGTCCTGCCACCTGACTCTTCGATCACCAAATTGAGCCAGGTTTTTGCTTCACGTTCAAGTTTCTCACTAAATGTCTTTAAATATAGAATGTCCAGATGAAAGGTATCCAAAATATAAAAATGTATATCTCGGAAACTAATTGTCACACATGTATCCGGTTTATGTCACTGGAAAAGAAAATTCTGGGAGTTTTTTTTTTTCATTCCCGGCTTACGCGCATGCGCCTCCACATTTCTGCCACCATGTTAGGAATCACCTGGAGAGCGAGATGGCTGGGAGATGGATTGGCAGAGGTAGACCAATAGCTTGGCCTCCTAGATCGCCAGATTTAACCCCAGTGGATTTTTTCTTGTGTGGTTATGTGAAGAACATTGTCTATCAGGTTAAGATCAACAACCTTTAACACCTGAAAGCCCGCATAAGGGACACTGTGGCTACGGTAACACCAAACATGCTTCAAGCTTGGATATTTGTCGTGCCACCACGAGAGACCAGATTTAAATTTATTGAGAAAGTTATATACGCAAAAAAAAATGTTAAGTTTCCTGTGTAATGGCGTAACCCATTAATGTGTATAATAAATTCTTTCTGAGATATAATAATTTTATTTTGGATACCTTTCATCCGGACACCCTTTATAGCGCTCAGTAAAAGAAGGCCCTATATAGGAAATAGCCTTTAGTCTCGACACTGCGTTCTGTAAGTCGCTTGTAATCCCCAGTTTGTGTAGTTAATTGCAATTCCTTAGTTTCGGTAGCATATTTTGAAACAATTAATCATAATAATTTTAAAAGTTAATAAACCACCAGAACTTAAATCCTCAGCCATTCCGAATTCTCCTTTTAAATTAATTTATTCACAATCGATCATTGTATAAAAAAAACTCACGATGGACACCTTCCACAAAAATTACTAGCAAGTGTGCTGTACGTGTACTCCAAAGTTGCACGATCCTGCATTCAAATCTGAGTGTGACGGAGCAACCGGAAATAAACAGCTTTAATCCATCTATTAAAACTGTCGTGTATATGTTCACGTCGCCCACTGCCGTCTGTCTGTCCTTACGGTCCTTACTTGGAGCCACTGCAGTTGCGCACGCACAGTTATTCCTTGGCGAAGGCTAACGTGCTTTGCTAATAGCTGAACAGCAGCAGGAACATGGCGACCCATTTGTGGGCTTAGCCGCGAGAGTAAAGACCAAGAGTTGCGAGCGGCAAAGATAAGGATATACATCATTAGAGCCAATGAAGACGTCAAGGGCGGGACAAGGGGAAGATGAGAAATGCATACAAAATTTTGAGTGGAAAATCTCAAGGAACAAGACCACCTGGGAGACGTAAATAATTAATTATTTTAGAGATATGTCGAAATATATAAAAATGAGGCTACTGACAATTAAGTGTGATCCGACATCCTAAACTATTATCGATACTCTCAGACAGTTCAGACACTTATTAAACTAAATCAGGTTTGAGGCGCTGTTGTCCTTTTCATACCCAGCACGTACTCAATACAGGGTCCCCTGCGAGCATAACGGGCACCAAAACTGGAATTCTCGCCAGCATCTCAATGTTTTTATATTCATTCTATTACAATACTTTCCACAAACTACATATATGAAATAATAATCTATTATTATTAATGGGAAGCCGGGAGAGCTCAGTCGGTATAGCGACTGGCTACCGGCCGGAGGAGTCGGTGTTCGAGTCCCGGTGGGAAAAATTTTCTCTCCTCCATGTCGTCCAGACCGGCTCTGGAGTCCACCCAACCTCCTATCCAATGGTACCGGAGGCTCTTTCCTCGGGGATAAAGCTGACCACTCACCTCCAACTAGTGCCGAGGTCAAGAAAATGTGGATCTATACATCCACTCCCCATACGCCTTCATGCTTAATTAGTTACGCACAGACACAACTTTACTTTATCTTATATTATTAATACCTAAAATTCGTCTCGGGGCGGATTACATTTTCTTCGCGGAAATCATTTTTCCCACCTACGAACTTTATTACAATGCCATATTATTGACTCTTACATGAGCATTCCTGTGTTTGTACCTGGGTTTGTCGTCTAGGGAAGGTCTTCTGCTGCGGCCAACCACGGCGTCCAGTTCATCCTGCACCTTCTTCTGGATATGTGGGTGGAGTATCAGGTACAGTATGCAGTAATCCAGGCTGTTGGCCACGGACTCGGCACCAGCAGAAAACAGATCCAACAGGATCGTAATGAGGCCATCCTCTGAAAGGGCAGACATGAAGTTGATTAAATTGCATTCTTCCCAGTGTGAATGTGTCGCAGTAGCCATGATTCTGTTGCAACTACTTCTGTTCGCGAAATAAAATTCACCAAATGCTATTCAGTTTAGAGCATGTTACATACGAGTGACATTCTTAAGACTAATACAACTGAAACCAGATTTATCCCTGTGCTTCACGCTCGTGGCAAATATATTAGTAAAGGGAAAGATCAGAAATTTACCAAGAATGCCATGATTTCAGAAGTAGGGATGACAACAGCAAGTCTCTGAGTGGTATTTTCACTATTCCTATTCTGGAAATATATTAGTATCTTCTTAAGGATTATGCCTCTTAGGTACTAACATTTACTAATCAGTTACTTGGAGCTTTGCATGTCCTCTTGGTCTTTAACTTTTTCATACAGATGCATATCTATCTTTTCAAAGTTACTTACACCACTGATTTGAAACGAGAAGTCAGAAATTGTATTTCTTTCCATTTTGTTGTTAATCATATAGAAGAATATTTAAAATTTTAAGCTGTAATTTTTCATTACAATTGAATTTCAATGGCATGAGTTAACGTTTTATGAAAATTTTTTTAGAAATTTATAAAAATAAATTGATTTCAAAATATATTGTAATCATTTATATAAATTCCGTTACTTTCTAAATAAAAAACCACATACTTGGTCTCTGACATTAAGGGAGGAACATAGACTAAGTGTGCTTGAGAACAGGGTGTTGAGGAGAATATTTGGACTGAAGAGAGATGAAGTGACAGGAGGTTGGAGAAAACTGCACAATGAGGAGCTTCATAACTTGTACTCTTCTCCGAGTACAATTAGAATGATCAAGTCAAGGAGGATGAGGTGGGCAGGGCATGTAACATGAATGGGGGAGACGAGGAATGCATATAGGATATTGGTGGGAAAGCCAGAAGGAAAGAGACCACAGGGAAGACCAAGGTGTTGGTGGGTGGACAATATTAAAATGGATTTTAGAGAGATAGGATTAGATGGTATGGACTGGATTGATCTGGCTGAGGATAGGGATCAATGGTGGACTCTTGTGAACACCGTAATGAACCTTCCGGTTCCGTAAATGCTGGGAAATTCTTGAGTAGCTGCAGATTTGGCTACTCCTCAAGAAGGGTTCAGCTCCATGAGTAAGTAAGTAAGTATGACTTGCCTGTAAATGACGTATTGTTAATGCCGTCATTCTTCTTCATTTCCTTCAGGTACACATCTATGAAGTCTCTGGATTCGTTTTCATCAAGAGTTCTTGCATGTTGTCGGATAGCTTCCTGAAAAAGAAGAAGACCATAGCTTAAATAATGACATAACATACACGTACATCGATAAGAGTCATGAACCAAGGGCTTAACTGGGAGGAACATTTGTTTTGTTGTCTTACCACTTTTATCAACTTGAAGTCTAAACAGCATCAATTAAGATAAGACAGGAATATTTTAAATAATAAATAAAAAAGGGTGTTCTAATGATATATTTCATGTTATGTTAGTGCCGAAAGATTCAGTAATGTTCTAATCATATTCTTCCAAAAGCAAATCATACGCCTTACCGCTGTGTCTACTTGCCCTACAGAAGAAATACTGAGCTACTATAACGCAATTTCAAAAGGAGGACGACCAGCTCTTGGATCCACTCAGTCTTTACTTCTCATATGTCTTTAAGGTAGGCCGCACACCGGCATGAGTCGAGACATGTAACAGTCAAGACACGATGTCTGCGACTTGACACAAAGAAAGGAGCACAGTTGAAACGAATGAGATTATGGAAACCGGTGCACACCGGTCAGATGATGCTGACGTTAGCATCATGCTGATGAATCACAAATGAAGCAAAACTATGTCTTTTGTCTCATGTCTTGATGCTTGTCTTGACGCAGTTGGTGTGCAGCCACCCTAAGGTGTCGCAAGACATCCAGCACTTGGTGACTCATTAGGATGAATATCTCAATACTAAACTAACTATGTATGACTGTTAAAATAGGTCTTTAGTATTCGCTTTACCATCTACTCACCCGGAAGAAATTGTGTCCACCTGTAGTCGCAATGTTTCTTTCCCGGTAACCAGCTAGATTGGGAAAGATAAGCCTTAGAAACGGAAGAACATCTACGATGTCCCCAGATGGATTTCCTGTCCGAAATAATCTGGTTATCTTCTGTAGAAGGGCCTTAAATTCTCTGTCATCGTGGGAATGTCGTTCGCCACCCAGAACTGCCCAGAGTACGTTAATGGCAGGAACTCCAAAGAAGCCACACTTCTGTTTTAAGAAAGCACAGTGTTTAATATCTGATGTGAACCTTTTACGGCAAGAGTATGCAATGAAGCTTTCCCGAGCGATCAAAATGGAGATCGTCTCGGGTTTCGTTGTCTCTCGTTAAGAACAAATAAATTCAACGTTGGCCTTAGACTCCCAGGCGTATACTGTACCCCGTGTGCATGTGGAAAGGTATAAATTGAAGAGACGGGCCTCGGCGTCGAGACTAAATAATGGACTCGCGAGGTACATTTGACTATATGAAGCACATAAAACGGCGTTGGCAGAGCAGAGCATCGAGTCAGAACATCGGACGAACTTTAAGGACTCCCAGGTATGGACAAGAGCTACAGTTTGCATGGGTCGTGTAGTGAAGTAGGCCATTCAGATCCGGTTATACTCAGATAACTTCAACACAGATACAGGACTTCCGGTAAGCTGTTTATGATACCCAGCCACAGGTATGATTAAGGAAGGAGACTAAAACGAAATAACGTAAACAACAGGGATGGCAAGGAATGACCGTCTGACTCCACCCACTGACAGCTGAGCGGTTCTCGTTGAGACAGAACACCTCTGAACATCCGCACATTAATTCAGAAATCAAGATTCCGTGGCCTTCCTCAAGCCACCGCTTTTAAAGCGAGTGTCACGTAATTTCGAACAAGGCCAAGAGTAACATTGAATGCGCAGAAGAAAAATTTCAGACAAGGGGGTGCCTTCAAGGGTGTGAGAAGTGACAGGCGGCCAGTTGTTTGTATAAAGTGGCGCTGGGGCAGGTTTTCTCCGAGTACTTCGGTTTCCCCTGCCAATCTTTATTCCACCAATTGCTCCACAATCACCCTCACCTATCATCTGGGGCTGGTACAATAGGCCAGAAGTGGCCGCAGTACAAGGGACTTAGTCCCACCCCACTAGCAATAAAAGATAGTAAAGATATCCCTGTAACAGGCTATGAAGGCCTATAGGGTTGTGAGATGTTGAGGCTCCCACATTTTCTAGACAATCGGCTCAAAGATGGCGATGAGGTTGTCAGCCTTACGCGCCGGCCGCCCTTTACCCCCACTAATATTCCTGGTACTCATTTCTGTTAGAGGCTGAGTCGACCACAGGACCATAGTGCGACTGGAAAGATTAGGTAAATCGAAAAATCCACCCACCGGGATTCGATCCCGCGACCTTCCAGCTTGCAGCTTAGTGCCTCAACCAACTACGCTACCGCATGCCCCTTCCAAATTTAATATCTAAATTAATCCGATCATAAGCAGTAAAGCCCCTGTTCAACTTATCTCCTCTCGTAACAATGTCCCTTTTTCGCTTCCTAACGCTCTGACATCCCTGAAATATACCTCTAACAGGACAAGAGGGAACTGTCTGGAACCTTTCAAAGCCGGAAAATGTCCTTCCCCCGGCAGTTGTAGTGTGTCTCACTACCACCTCCACCATTTTACCTTACTCTGTTCCCAAGCATAACAATTTATTCATAACCGACATATCATAAATACAATATATATTTATGACGCAGCGTTAGTTCCCACATGGGCGTGTCTGAATCTATGCCCGTTGTCGTAGCATTCGTCCGCGCATCATATGAAGTCTCGGTCTTGTCCAGCGTAAGGACTGACTCTTGGTGCCTCATACGGACTGGAACCTCGGGATTTCCCTCCCATGAGTAGCCGCCTGAAGTGAGGAGCACTCTACTCACACAGAACTCTAAGATTATTTTCAGTACTGCGTCTTTGAGGTCATAAATATTTTAAGCAACATGGCCTCATGGGCACAACACTGAGAATAACTTGACAGAATCATTCAAAGTCCTTCGTGAATAGGCATTCCAGACGGTTGATCATCAGAAGGAACTCCGGAAGAACCATTCCATGGGCAGCGCTAAGACTTAATCCCTAAGGAGGGATAGACCGCGTTAACGACTGACACAACAGACTAAGATTGTGACTTACTGATGCAGAAACTAACGAAGCACCGTAAACATTTACTGCTGTATTTCTTTTATGTAATTAAAATTGTCAGTTATCATTATGCTGTTAAGCTTACCATATAATTCAGGTTATCAATAAAGAAATAGCATATACGTAAGATAAATTTCAGGAAACTGCAATACTGTATTGTCTGCCACACTGCGGGCTAAACATCAGTATGCACCCAGAAGGTCCTAGGACCTGACACATCGATACAAGTTTCCCTGGTTTCCTCTTGCCTTCAAGCAAATTCTGATATTGTTCTCAAACTTCAAGCCGCTAATATATGCTTCTGATACAGACCGCTTATTTACATTAATCAGAATTAAATACTTCTACTGTAAATACCACAAAATTATCTCCTCAAATTATTCAACTCACTACTAATTCCAAAAATAAAAATTCCAGTACTCTTGTCTTAAGCTACTATTCTAATATCTTCAATCTTTACTACTCTACTTAGAAGGACGAGTGAGTGAAGCTCAGGAACCTTATAACAAAACGATGTCCTTTGTTCCCCGTAATAGAATGTCCCTCACTTCTTCCGCGACTTTTCCTCTCCCAAAAATTATTCTTCCTTGCTTCCTCCACCTCTCCAGACACTACGTCTGACTGAGACACCCCTGATGACGCAAACGGAGACATTCCCCAAGCCGCTTGATTCTGACTCCATTCTGACACGCCACAAAGTCCGAGAAAATTTTGTTGTGCTCGTACAGTACTTTCTGTTTTAGCGACACACTCCGTGGCCTGTAGTCCGCAAGCGAACTATACCAACCGAGCGACCACCACTTGTCGGCGAAGTTAGTGCCAACTTTAGTGGATAGAGGGTGTCGTGTGGTCAGCGGGACGAATCCATATGGCCGTTAATTTCGGTTTTCTAGACCGGAGACAGATATAACAGGAAATTAAATAATTTTAAACATATAATTAATATGCTACAGTACTGGAAATAAAAAACTTTGTAAATCGGAATTTATCATCTTTTATGCGATTTCACTCGGAACGTAATTAAAATATTTAAATTGAATCTGGACTATCGCGTAAATACATATTAATTAAATGTGATATAAACGCAACTTATGATAAACTTGTTAATCAGTTTTCTCTACTCCGCATATTCCAATATCTACGGTTCAAAGCGAATTATGTTATGATCCTAATATTGACTTCAATAATTACATGCGTTAATTCCCTGTCTAATCTCAGGCTCATATTAAATGCAAACTCCAGTAATGTTTAAAATTTGTTGTAAGAATTATATAGAAAGTGGCGGTAATTATTTTCTATAACAAATGTTTTTATCCGTCATAACACAACAACAATCAATAGCCTCGTACACATCAAATGTGTATGGTGAGTTTATTGATCTTGGTGGTATAACTTGCTACATGTTTCGGCTTATTATAAAGCCATCGTCAGCCACATATATACTAATAACAATTTTCTTAAAATATTGAATTGCGTTTCACATATATACGTATTGCATTATTACAGTTATCAATGTATCTTGTTCTATAATTATTTTCACTTGAGACTTTCTTCCTGCTCTGAGTGTAGAGGAAATGTTTCATGTCAGCAAACAACAGTAGTCCCACCAGCTGCCCTACTCCCATGCACCTACTTCTTCTCTCATTAACCATCCTCAGAAGCCGTACAACTACAAGATTCTTGAAAGTGGGTAGTCAAACCTAGACGCCTGAAAGTTGACTAATTCACTTTCTGGATTTTATAGAGAATTTTAAGGAGAATCTCAGAGCTTAATCTCTTGACAATTATTTAATCCGTACATTTCAATCGTCTTTCCCTCCTTCATGTTGGGCGTCCCTTTTGAAATCGTCTTAGTATAGACCTAAGGAAGATGCATCACAGGTGCAATTGTACTAATATGACCAACGTAGGACTGTGGTTGGGTGATTAATTGTGGCTTATTAACTTGGGAACAAACAGGACAATCCCATGAAGATAAAGATGGCGTCCTCTTTAGTACGTGATATTCGTATGGCTTAGGAAAGGGATGCATTTGACTCTTTCTTGGGATCGTGTTGGATAGCTGTAACTGATCCGCTCTCCCAGTCAGAACACAGAAGTAGTCGCTTTATGATGATTTGTAGAACAAGGATATTTCCAGACGCACAAGATGTTTTTTGCAGGGTAGCAAGAAGTAATTTCACACTTTTTGCCTAATAACTTTCTCTCTTATCCGAAGACATTTTTAAATGTATATCAATTTATTCACAAAAAATTGACTTCCGCAAATGTTTTATACCCGTAGAAACAAACCGTACATGGATCGTCTCAATATTTATGTGTGTTATGAATTTAGAATTTGGTCGAAGCTTCGCATAATACTTGGGTCTCCAAACAATGAAACCCATAGAGTCTTTGGCTAGTTTTTCATATGGAATGTATCTGTCTTTAATTCCCAAATTGTGAACATTCTAAAATGTCAATTTGCTGGTTTGAGGCTACGTAGAAATGTGTAACCTTCAGCTCCAAACAAATAGCTAGCAACTCAGCACGTTCCTAGAGGGAACGGGGAGAACTACGAAAAGTCTTTATCAGGATGTCGATGTATCGATCTGAATACAGGCAACATCAGCCTGATCGGTTTCATGATGTTCCTAACAAGTTAGAAGAAAATTAATTAGTTGGTTCCAAAATTATTAAGATGGGACAGACATATCGCCACTGTGATATTGTAAGTGTGTGGGTCATTACAAGAAAGCTTGTATACTGTAGGAGAGACAAAAGGTCCCTCGTTATTATTTTGTTTCTGACTAAATTCTATCTGCAAAACATATTCTACCTTTACAAACGTAATAAAACTCTGTACGAGTACTCGTGAGCTCCATGTTGCAGATGAAGATGGCAACTGGCCATACTTTTCTTTGAACACGTAAATTCATCCATAACGTGAGGGATGAAAACACACTCTGTCCATTACAAAGAACAATCTATCAATTATATTTACAAAAATAAGCGCTGTTTATTATGATTTTCATGCAAAATCCATACATATACTGTGGGAAAATGCAGAGAATTTACGTTAATGTTATTTTCATATGTACTAACTACTGTGCAGGGGCACGCGGTAGCGTAGTTGGTTGAGGCACTATGCTACATGCCGGAAGGTTGCGGATTCGAGTCCCGATGAGGTGGATTTCTTTCTTCAATTGATCTAACCCTTGCAGCTGCACTATGGCCCTGGGGTCGACTCAGCCTCTAACAGAAATGAGTACCAGGAATTAATTAAATAATTTTCCTGGGGAGTAAAGCGCGGCCGGTGCGTAAGGCTGACAAACTTACCGCCATCTATGAGCCGATTGTCTAGATAATGTGGGACCCTCAACGTCTCACAACCCTATGGGCCTTCACGGCCTGTTACAGGGATAGCTTTACTTTTACTTTTTACTAACTACTGTGCTTTAGAGGGCTAAACACTCTCAGACGGGATTGCGATTTCGTCTGAAAGCAGTTACTAAGTGAGACTGAATGTCGACTTTACCTGGATCTCATTAAATTGCAGCTGCTTGATCAGAACTTCAGCCTCATCTAAAATGATCCCTTCCAAACTCTTCTTTCCGAACCCAAGGTCTCGCAAGTGGCGCAGAGTGAAACGACGTTGTTCCACCCAGAACGGCCCGTCAGTAAAGAAGAACCCTGTAAGACAGTCACTGGCCACTTAATGTGTGGAACTTAGGTCCAGAAGTCATTCCTGAAGATGGAAATAATCATCACGACACAAAGAATGAAATACTGTGTTCTCAATTATGTTTCGTATGCCTACCGCCATCTATGAGACGATTGTCTAGAGAAAATGTGTGAGACTCGACGTCTCACGACCTTATGGGCCACCACGGCCTATTACAGGGATACTTGTACTTTTTTTGCTTTACTTTTATGCCTTGAATGAAATGTATAATGGACCGAACGACTGGTTGGAGAGTTGGGTGAGACTGAGTCTCTTGATGCTGTGGTCTCGAACGGTCCTAAAGTACCAATACCTCAACCAATCATTTGCTTTTACTCCATTCTAGAGCATAAGGCTTACACCAAGTATCTCCAACGGACTCTGTTCCCAGCAAGGTTCTTGACCTCCTTCCAGGTCTTTCCTGCTTTTCGGGCCCTCTTCTTCAGCAGTTCTCCGCCAGGTTGTTCTTGGTCTGCTTCTCCTTCACTATCCCTGGAGATTCCAGGATATGTCCTATCCATTCAATTTCCTTCATTTTATTGATCTAGCTACTGGTTCTTCCTTTGCTAGTTTCCATAAGTTTTCATTTGTAACAACCGTTGGCCAAAATATGCGAAGGATTCTTCTTAAACATTTATTGATAAATACCTGACGGCTCACACTAGCCGTAAGCTTATGCGCTTCTTTCAGGGTACGTTGCGGCCGCGTTGTGAATGGTTGGTAGGTTAGTAGTGCAGAGTTGCTGAAATGCCTTTTGTGTTTTCACACGTGGAATACTGTGATATGCATTTTGTGTATGGATTTTCCGGTGGCAATGCACGTGCTGCTGTTGAAGAATACCAAAGGCGTTTTCCCGATCGAAGGATTCCATCTCGAAGTGTATTTATGCGAATTCACCAGACATTGCGTGATACTGGTTCTGTTCCGAGTGTTTCTGTGCAGTCTGAAAGGGAGGATGTACGAATGATAAACACACGAGAGAACATTCTTGAGATGGTTCAGAGAAGTCCGCATCTGTCCACTCGTAGAATTGTCTCTGACATCGGCGTATCACGTATGCAGGTGTGGCGAAGTTTACATGATGAAGAGTTGTATCCTTACCACGATCAAAGGGTACAACATCTGGAACCAGGCGACCATGCTCAATGTATGGATTTCTGCCACTGGATAAAAACTCATCCCGAACTGTTAAGCGTCATTTTATTCAGTGATGAGGCGTCTTTTACCCGGGACGGTGTAAATAATTTACGAAATGTGCATACGTGGTCCCATAATAATCCACATGAGATAATGGTAACGAAATTCCAAAAGAGATTTTCTGTGAATGTATGGTGTGGTGTGCTTGGGAACAGGTTTATCGGACCTTTTGTGTTTCACAACAATTTAACTGGAAACATGTATGAAGCCTTCCTGAGGAATGATTTACCATGTTTGCTGGAAGATATCCCGTTAACGATAAGGAGCCAAATGTACTTCCAACATGATAGGGCTCCCCCACATTACACTCAGCACATGAGACACTACTTAGATGAATCCTTCCCTAACCGCTGATTAGGTCGTGGTGGGCCCATTGCATGGCCACCGAGGTCGCCAGATCTTACGCCTCTAGATTATTACCTCTGGGGCCACATGAAGACGTTAGTCAATGAAACTAAGGTCTATTCACGAGAAGCACTGCGGGAACGTATTTTTGCAGCGGCAGAACACATACGTCACCATCCAGGCAACACTGCTTCTGCTACCCAGTCGCTCATGATGCGTGCCGAAAACTGCATTGCAGCTGGTGGAGGACACTTTGAACAATTAGTATAAAGCAGGTACTGTATTTTAGTACAGTTATGTAGTCGGCTTATACCAGAATGCGAGTCAGCCATGTTACGTTAGCGCTTGCCGTTCATGTGTCATGTACAGTGCTTGGAAATCTAAGGACAACTATGACGTGGCGTGCGAGTTTTTTTTTTAGTTCAATTTAATGGCTTCATGTCACTCACAAGTTAGTTTGAAGTTACGTACATTATTAACATTACAGAAACTACATATTCTTGCCAGTTTTAATATGTATTTCGGTAATCAACGAGTGTGTAACACCGGTCAAAGTTTCACACTTCTCTGGCCATTATCTCCGTAACCGTTCAGCTTTGGACATAGGTGTTTTGGGTTATATCAGCATGTTTTAACATAAGGAACACCCTCCCGAAGTCTGGCCATTCCTCCTGGAACATCCTGTATATGCGATTCATTCTTGTGTAAGGTTAACGCATTATCCGTCTATGAGATTACGCTTTAGCGTAACTCAGACGATCACAATCTAATTTATCAATAAGAGGTGACAGTTTAAAGACATTCGTTATGAAGTCATACAGCTTAAAAATGTACACTCAGGACCAGTTGCACGTTAGCATCTAAAGTACACCAGTAAAGAGCGTAAATTATTTAACTCAGTAAGTTACATATGTAAACATATATTATTATTATTATTATTATTATTATTATTATTATTATTATTATTATTATTAAGCATCCTGATTGACATGAAAAAAAAATAAGGCAATTTACGTGATCTGTGATCAATAAAGAAAAATAAATCAATATGTACCTAGTCTTTTGTTGAAAGCCCTGTCTCTTGAATTAAAAGTGTCCGGTCTTCCTTGGAATTCATCTCTGCGGAAGACCTCCAGACATTCTTCAGCACCAATGACTGCTAATGCTGGTTTGGAACCAAGCATGAGTCCCACAACAGGACCATACTGTTTCTTCCACTTCTTAACCATGGTGAACTGCACATGCTTCGCCGGGATGAAGGGAATTGAACCAACCACAGGTAAACATGGAGGACCTGATCAAAAATCAAAACATGTAAACAACTCACTTCTTCCTGGAATTAAAACGAGGCTCAAGTTGGCCAGTTGTGGAAGGCGTTGCCATTGTATTATAAAATTGATGCTACAAACACGATTCAAAATTTCATGACGATGGTATACTATTAAAGTTGTTGACGACTTTCTGGGCATCATCTGTGGTCCTATATTTTATTTAAAACAACGTTCCGGAGACTAGACTCCACCTCCGTCCTGCTCAACTTGGCCCAATCGATACAGACAGCCCTATCTGCTGACACAAGAACCAACATAAACAGGGCATATAAAATGAAGCAAATATAAACCATCTGTGGCAGTTAAGAAAAACATTTTAAGATGATGCCTTGCACCTACGGACATGCCTAATGTAACGGCCATAGTCCATAAAATAAGAGCCAGATCAAAATAGAAGCTGAAACTAAAGATTCAAATTCTGAAAGAACAGGACATAATCCATCAACACTTAAATCACAGATTCGACGTCAGATGCACATATCGAACCAACAGATGATGACTATAAAATTTAAGCATTCAAAAATTTCTAAATACCAAATAGGACCTAAAGGGAAATAAAACCAAACTTATATAAGCCAACTGTAGAGTACCAACATAAAATTTGAAATTCCTCACATAATCTAAACTGTATTGTAATTTTCTGGCTTCTGCTTCAATGAAGGGAGTCCAGGGGGGAGAGACATCCAGTAATACACTATTCAATACTTATAGAACAGGATGATGGGTAACATCCAGAAAGTCAATAATTGTACTCATTTGTGTAGTTTGGGAACTGCACGTCCGTTGTATCTCTAAAAATATAGAAGTACATTGTACTTGTAACAGGGAAGATTATTTTGATTTAATTAAATGTGTGTATTTAATATAAGTTTGTCAACACAAAAACAACCTCGACACCGTAAAGGTATAAGAGGAACAGATTAAGTGAGTAAGTATCAATACAAGTTAGTAAACAACTCGTTTGCATAGTTTCAAGGACAGAAGCTTCGACAATCTCCCGAATGCCGCATGTACTCATGTAAGTCCCCTCTCCTGTTCTGTGGGGGGATACACAAACCTCTTTTACTGTTTAATCTCCTCTCCATAACTTTGTCATTATGTGTGGTTCAGTTATCGGTCCAGACTGCACAAGAACTTACTTCAAGTCTGCCATTTTCACTGCAGTGTTATATACGAACACTAACTTCTGCACTTTTCTTTTCCCAGTGAGCTTGTTACTTGGTTAACTACCCCTCCAGAACAGGAAGAAGCTATTTCTGTCATGACAGTTGTTACTATAACAGACAACAATTGGAACAATTAGTGTAACTTCCTTGTCTTTTGTTCAAGGGTTGAATGGGGTAGTTGCAAAGAACTGCAAGAGTTGCTGGGTCTGATTCTCTACACTGATATGTAATCTGTCTGCACGAATGGGATGTCAAGAGCAACAGTTGAAGGTATATAAAGAGCAGAGAAGCAAAGGCATGTATGTAAAAGACAAATAAAATGTCCTTGACATGTGGGAGGAAGGCAAAGGCCAGCCGGAAATTACTTCTCTGTTCTGCTCTGCCCAGAGCGGGTCGTAATAGGCCAAACCCTCCTCTCCTCAAAGAGGAGGTCCTATATCAAAATATATAAGCAGTTTTAGAACGATGATCATGACTCCCGAAGGGACTCGAAACCAATATTAACTATGCTGCCGAAGACCAGCAGCAAATTACTGTTATGCCCTGCCCTTAATATGTAGATATATTTTCTTATCCATCACCAAAAACTTCGTAAAAAAAAACAAGCTGCATTATGCCCCGCAGCCTATGTTGTGTTTTAAATATGGAAATATGGTGGAAAGTGAGGCATTACGAGGGTAAGTGCGATATTCGGGAGACAATGAAGAACTGGTAAAAATGCAAATGGAAGAAGCAAGACGTAAGGCCTACTCATTACACCATCTGCCCGTCTGTATATATATATATATATACAGCTTGTACTCAACGGATACGCATAAAATTGGGTGATTTCGATCTACATTTCATTCGATAACCTAACTGCATCATCCCCTAATTATCATCTGTATGTAGCAATCGCTAATTGCACAATTAGCTATCTCTGTGGTCTAGTGGTCAGAGTACCTGGTTACAGATCCAGAGGTCCGGGTTCGATACCAGATTTTCTGAGAAATACTGGGTCTTGAACGGAGTCCATTCAGCCTCGTGAGGATAACTGAGGAGCTATTTCAAGGAAATAGCGGCTCCGGTCTAGAAAACCGAGATTAACGGCCGTGGACAACGCGACACCCTCTCTCGCTAAAGTTGACACTAACTCCGCCGATAAGCGGCGGTCTCTCGGTCGGTATAGTTCGTTTGCGGACTAAGGCCATGGAGTTTTTTTTAATTGTTCTTGTTGTTCATTTGCTTCAGGCGCGAATTTATTCTTACAGATTTAATTACTAGAAAATAACTCATTACACAGAGTCAAAATTTTTCCTCTTTCTTTCCATGAAGTATTAAGAATAAAATCTGCGGAAATTGTTGAAATACAGTAGATATTACGTATGGGTATATGATATACAGCCGGTCACGGTAGCCCAGCGGTCTAAGGCATGTACTGTCTTCGCTCGCTTGGAAACCGGGATCGTGGGTTCGAATCCCACACAGGGCATGGATGTTTAGTTTGTGTGTGTGCGTTTTTCTGTGTTTGGGTACAGGTAGAGGCCTTGAGACAAGCTGATCACCCGCCCAAGGAGTCCTACCGAATGTGTAAGAGCTAGAAAAACCGAAGTGAACGGAGAGGTTCATGGAGGTAGGCCTAGGCCCACTAGGGCTCTACTGCCAAGGAAAGAAAAGAAAAATATGATATACAACTTTTCAGAAAATCCCATTTCGGTTTCAAATTAAAAAAAACACATTAAACTTGTTAATATGAAATGTTATTGAGGACTTCTAATTTCGGTTTTACTCGAAGTTCGTCCATTAGTTTTGAGTGTTAATCATTTGGGCAGGCGGACAGAAATTAACTCCGCATTATGAGTTTATTTGAGACCCTTAAGTCGATGTTCCTTATCTCAAGACCTTACGCAAGTAAGTATCTAAGTGCAAGAACTGAAATGCACAGTAATTCGCTTATGCAATTAGAGATTATTATGACAAAATAATGTGTTTTAGTTACACATATACGACTTCGTACATATGCTACAATTATATCATGCAGTGATTCAAAGAAGTGTTTGCATATTATTAAGACCTTATGGATTGCGGCATTATCAATGTCATTTATTTACTTCTTTATCATGTTGAACACATTTACGACCTCTTTTGTCCCTATTCTTTCTAATTCCCCACTTTAATCGTCATTAAATAGACGTTATACGAGTCTGGTCCGAACCTCTGACAGCGTGGCTGAATAAGCCACAAGTAAATGAATGAATAAATGAATTCACATTTTCCGTATGAAATTGTTCTTTTGCAGCTCTTAAAAATTAACATATTCACTTCTCTTAATTGCCTTTATATTTATTGCTTTGAGGGATTCATGAACATAAAAGAGATATACTGTAATCGCTATGTGTTAAATTATGATAGTTGGAGTTTGTTATATAAAAATATTGTAGCGCGCATAGCCACTGTTGCGCAGTATCTGCGAGATGGACAAATATACCAGAGCAGATTCTAGGCAAACGGAGTATGGAATACGTGGACAAATCCATTTGTCGCTTTCAGGTTTCAGTATGGATCAATGTGATTGGAAATCTAAACTGCTGTACAGCAAATGGGGAAACTTTCCCACGATGTATTTTACGCTTTTCATACGGTTCAGGCGCTGATACTAGTCAAGGGCAGACAGACGACAAGATATGAACTTTTAGTCTATTTTTAAAATAGTCCTTTTCTGAAAAAGGCTTCTGAAAATTAGAATTTTGCTCTCAACAATTACTTTATCTGACTCGCCTTTAAGATGTAATTTTTAAATTTACGATACGAAGACTCTGAATAATTTCAGATTACTATTAATTATTTTATTTTTAATGCCGATGGGTAAATATAATTTCTTATCCCTTTAATCACATCTTAGGCGTATATGAGGACAGGTACGTGAAAGTTCGATATGTATATATTAAAATACCTCAAAATTTAAACACAATTTAAAATCACTGTGTAACAGATCATTATAACAAGAGTCAGTTATACTAACCAAGATTCAGCCTTCACTCACTCACTCATGGAGCTGAGCCCTACTTGAGAAGCAGCCAATTGTGCAGCTACTTAAGAATTTCCCAGCATTTTACGGAACCCGAAGGTTCATTAACGTGTTCACAAGAGCCCTCCACTGATCCTTATCCTGAGCCAGATCAATCCAATCCATATCATCCCATCCTATATCTCCAAAATCCATTTTAATATTGTCCACCCACCTACGCCTTGGTCTCCCCAGTGGACTCTTTCCTTCTGGCTTTCCCACCAATATCCTATATGCATTCCTCGTCTCCCACATTCGTACTACATGCCCTACCCACCTCATCCTCCTTGACTTCATAATTCTAATTATACTTGAAGAAGAGTACAAGTTATGAAGCTCCTCATTATGCAGTTTTCTCTAACCTCCTGTCACTTCATCTCTCTTCGGTCCAAATATTCTCAACACCCTGTTCTCAAACACCCTCAGTCTATGTTCCTCCCTCAATGTCAGAGACAACGTTTCACACCCATACAGAACCACCGACAAAATTATAGTTTTGTGTATTCTAATTTTTATGTCTTTGCACAACAGACGAGAGGACGAAAGGTTCTGGACTGAATTGTAGCAAGCATTACTCGAGTTCAATCTCCTCTTAATTTCCTCCTCAATCAGGTTTTGACTAGTTATCGTTGTTTCCAAATATCTGAACTGTGCCACATTTTCAAAACATCTGTTTCCTACCTTTATGTCATGATTTTGCATTGTATTTTGGTGACGAGATAGCAACATAAACGTAGTTTTCTCTCTGTTTACTTCTAGACCAACATCCTTACTTGCGTCAATTAAAGTTTATGTGTTTTTTATGGTACCTATATTATCACCCACTAGATTCACATCATCGGCACAGGTCAACACCTGATGTGTCCCATTTAATTTCAGTCCAACCTGGTTTGCCTGGACCTTCCTAATGGCATATTCTAAAGCAAAGTTGATAAGGAGTGGCTACAAAGCATCTCCTTGTCTTAGACCATTCAAAATAGTAAATTTTTCAGACAAACATTTACCTACACGGACTTTACTACAGGTTTCATTTAAACGCATTTTAATCAGCGTAACTAGTTTCATGGGTATCCCAAACTCTCTCAGAATATTGTACAATACTTCCTAACTAAATCACAAGCTTTCTTGAAGTCTACGAATAGCTGATGTACTATCTCATTGTAGTCCAAAATTTCTCCAATATCTGAAGGATGCAAACGATCTGATCTGTAGTTGATCTGTTGAGTCCAAATCCAGAATGATTATCTCCAATAATTTCATCTATATATGGGCTTAACCTTGAGAGAAGGATATAATTTTTTATGAAGTTGATAGCAGTGATATCCCTTGACAATTACTACAGTCAGGTTCATCACCCCTCTTGTGAACTGGTACAATAAGAGACCCCTTCCACTGATCAGACAATTTTTCCTTATTCCAAATACAATTAATTAGCTTATGGATCTCAGAACGTAATATTTCACCTCCTGCTTGAATGGGTTCTGCCGAATTTGATCACTAAAAGGCGATTTATACCTTTTTAATTTTACAAGCGCAATTTCAAAATCAAAAAGACTAGGGTCAGTTAATAACGGCTCAGGTGTATGGATTTCTATCTGCATAACATAACTGATCTTATGTACATTCAATAACTGAGAGAAGTAGTTCTTCCACCTATTCAAAATGTTATGGGAATCTGCAAGCAGATCACAATTCTGATCCTTCACTAAGTTACTGCTAGGTTGGTAACCCTTCTTAAAGTCATTTATTCCTCTATATAGGTCTCTAATATTTTTGTTCTTACTGTTCGTTGCAAAGTCATCAATTCCCTCTTTATGTTCCTGAAATGCCTGCTGGTTTCACGTCTTATATTGTTCAGATTATCCCCATTTATTTCGCTTGGATCCTGTAACCATTGCAACATCCTTCATCGAACAGTGGCTTATGCTTCTTAAGTTCATAACAACCTAGACGCTCTTTGGCACAACTTTTGATATTCTCTCTAATACTTTCCCAAGTTTTATTAATATCCACCTCAGTGTCTAAGTTTTTCAAAGCTGCGAACCTATTTGAGAAATCAACACGACACTGCTCCTGACCGTCTATCTCTTTTAATTTCTTAAGATTGAACCTCTTCATATGAAGTCTGTGCATTGTTTGTTTGCTCACTGCCAGTCTTTCCCTAACCTTTGCCAGCACCATGTAGTGGTCAGTATCACAATCTGCTGCCCTGAATGATCGGACATCAGGTATGCTTGAGTGCCGCCTCCTATCTATCAAAATATGGTCAATTCAGTTGCGCGTCTTCCCATCAGGAGACGTCCAAGTACGTAAATTTATGGACGTTACGACATGGGAACGGTGTACTTTTGACAGTAAGATTTTTGGGCATTACAAATTCTACTACTCTAACTCCATTGTCATTACTAATTTCCTGTGAACTCTTTCCCAGTTGTTGGTTTCAAAATGTCTTCCCTCCCTACTTTGGCATCAAAATCTCCTAACCTGCTTATTCAACATATTTGCAACTACCTTCTTTACCTAGAGGGTGTCTCCTCCATCTGCAACGTGAGGACGCGCCATGCCGTGGTGACAATGGCCCCAACTAACATTAGAGATTCAGGCTGATTGCGAAAATGAATATGGAGACATAGTCCCATTCTTACATAGAAATGATAACCTATCTCTATCCCGGAGCTAAGCTACGAGCATATAGCGTTCAGCATTAATTCTTAGAATGGGATGCATCAAAGACAACGGTAAACCATTGTACAATCCAGGCTCATAACAGAGCTTCAAGATGCTGGCTTGATAGTCGCCCACGCTAGCTTACCTCATGGCTTGCAGAGTTAGAACTCGTTATTAGTCTAAAGATTCTAACTCCCTAAGAACTGAATTTCATTGGTAAAGTTAATTATCACTGTGAACCCCAGATTTTGAACGGAACCAGTCATGCAGAGCTGAGAGAGATTACGTCTGAAAGCTACGGCTTGGAAAAGTTACTGTATTCAGGCGGCGTATCCTCCAAAAAGTTTTCAATCAGCAATCGGGCTGAAACAAAAGCAAAACTGTGTCGCTCCGGGTTACAGATTTACACAAAGTAGTTGTTACGTCTCAGCTAATTAAGTCAGCTTACAAGGACTGACAGTGTAACACGGTAGAATGGAGTAGAAGCCTTTGTGAACAACAATATTAAAGTGGAACATGCACAGAAATGAACGATATATCTGTAATACAATTGGTGAATGCAATGAAAGTACTAGTTCTTTGTATTTAATGTGTAAAATCGAAGTTATTTTTGCATATTATTTTGCCGGAGCATGGCCGGTTAAGCCTTGGGAGTGAGCCTCAACTTTGCCAACTGACTACCGGCGACTAACATCCACTCCGATCCTGACAAAAACACCTTCTGTAAACCACTCATATTTACTGGCGTCCGTGCATAACTTCTGTCCACTTGATCCTACCACCTTAGTGCGAAATGAATTAGGAGGTCAGTGAGGTGAGTTATAGTTAACGGTGGCCGATGAGTGAGTTTAAGTAACAGCTCCGCAACATCAGTTAGGTCCCATCAACATAGAACTACTGTCAAGTGACATTTACATCTAAGACGCAGAAGATGCTCTGTTACATGGGGGTCCTTCCTTCGATGTGTTTCACCCTATCTTGACCCAAAATATGTTCAGAAACGACTACTAAAATAAATAAATAATTTAAAATTAGCATAGTCATTAGTGCACACAGACGCAAGACGCTCTTCTAAAGCATGCGACTTACCAGGAGGAAAGTTCTTTGGTTTGAAAATTAGAACGGAATACAGGAGAAGGGCCACAAAAGCTACAAAAATTAAAATAATCATTGTCTCTTCTTCACTTTCCTTCACCAGGAGAGTTCCGGAAGCGAGATGAGATAGAACCCACGGCTGTGAAAGGTACTTCTGATACTGCACACAAAGGATTACTGCACTGCGCCATTCAGTTAAACTATTTATGAAATGAAATCGCTGGCGTCAGAGTGAGTTGCGAGACAGAAGGTCATGGTTCTGGCTAGAAGAAAACAGATCACATTTTAAGAAAACATAATCAAATCTTTAACGGTCACTTATATTCAAGGTCTTTTCAATTTTGTTCTTACAGTTCTCATTAAAGAAATTACCATAATACAATTCGGTCCGAAGCGGACTCAGCGCTTTCAAGTTGAAGGGTACCCGGTTCCAATCCCGACTGCCGTCCAGCTATCCGGATTGAGGTTCTTTGAGACTATCCACCCTATCGTGGTGAGGGGGTTTGAGTATGCCAAGGACCCTGAGAGCTATATCAGCGGTAGCGTAGCTACTGGCAGGGCATCCCTTGCTGGACAGGTCAAAGGGTAGGCATCAGACGAAGAGACACACCAAAAACCAAAAACTGATGCCGGAAGCAGCAGAAACTTGAAGCACAGACCAAATGATGCTAGAGATGGTTCAAGTTCTGTCGTATGACAGATTACTGATGAATGAAAAATGAAATCTCAAGGTGTATTTGGCCCTGTGTCTAAGCCGCTGACACGGCAATGTACTGGGATGTGGAAATAGCATTCCACGCTTTTGGATTTCGGTGGTGAGCTCATGTCCAGATAGTTTTACCCTCGCAGTACACTGGATACGAGTCTGGGTGCTCACCAGAGATAGTCTGAACGTGGGGGTGAAGAAACCCATTCCAGTCGATGCCTTGAATGGCACCTCAGTTGTTCAGCCAATAGCAAGACGCATTACTGAATAGTGCCTTAAAAGACACACTTTCACTTCAAAATTTCTCCAGATTCATAATTCACATTCATCTGCCGTATAGTGAAAATTTTACTGACGTTGTGTAAACTAAGCAGCTAACACAGAGCCCAAAAATAACAGAATAAACAAACCCTTCGCCGGACTCAAGAACACTGACAAATTCGTGTTGGGGTCAGTTAATCCACGGTCCTCCAACTGCCTGCATTCTCGAAGAGTTCGGTCTTGTGGGTTATAACGTCATGAAGTCCGGAGAAAACCTCATGTTTCGGAGGAACACATTAACTCCATCTTCAGGGTCCAACAGCCAGACAAGAAATCAGCAAAAGCAGGCAGAAAGCTGAACCAAGAAAAAACTATATTCTTAATTTTTGGCGCTGTAAGCCGTTTAGGGCTTAGGTTCCATAAATCCTTATTAAAAGAAGTGGTAATGCATTTTCGCTGGGGGGGGGGGGCCTTCTACTGCAAGGCCGTTGATATCAAGCGCACACGAAGATGTGGGGAAATATCACCTAGGGAATATTATTCGAAACTGTAACTTCAGTATATGAGATCGTCTTGTAACATTTTCATATTATTTAGAATAAATAGAACAACGAACAGATCACTGTACTTAGAAAGGTCGATTTTCAAGGGCAGAATGAGTGGAAAAAACATAATAACTTAAACGAAAGAATAACAGGTAGAGGGAAGAAGTCGTTTTATTTCATGCTGCAAAATCATGGCTCTACGTGAATTCTGTGAAACGTAGGCCACGGCCAAATTCTTTCAGATCAAACATAATCATGAAAGTCTTTATACAGCCTCGCCTATGCAGTTTAAAAGCGTTATTAAGCGCCTTGAGTAAATTACGAACGATTGACTTGGCTTACGAATATAACATGGCAGAAACTTGCTCGATCTTCTTTATTGAATCAAGATTTAAAAATTTCCTGTAAATCGTAAAGTAAATCTGCAGCCGGTAAAAGGTAAAGCTGCCCCTGTAATAGGCCGTGGGGGGTCCGTAGGGTAGTGAGACGTAGAGGCTCCCACATTTTCTAGACAATCGGCTCATAGATGGCGGTAAGGTTGTCAGCCTTACGCGACGGCCGCCCAAGGAAGATTCCTGGTACTCATTTCTGTTAAAAGCTGAGTCGAACCCAGAGCCATAGTGTGGCTGGAAGGAATAGGTAAACTGAAAAATCCAATGACCTCATCGGTTATCGAAACCACAATCTTCCGCTTTGGAGCGAAGTTGTAAAATTATATAAATCATCCATTGGATTAATGTATAATTTCATGTTTTGCAAATATCTCAGTGTTTATACATGATTTGAGGTTCTGACAGCATTGGTTATAAAGAATTATATCTTCCGGGATGTCATGTAATCCGCTGAAAGTCATATCAAGCTGCCTGAGTTATGCTGGTTTCTCCGAAACGTCGGTTGAATTCAGAGAGTATATGAGATATAACTCTTCGTTTCAGTGAATCTTCAAAGGCCTTTGTTATAATTTTCGAGTTACTCGTACTCTAACGTAATTTATGACGAATATTTTGTATTCTTAAGGCATATTTGACCTCCTCTGCAGTCTACTGGTCAGAGTTCCTGGCTACAGATCCAGAAGTCCTGGTTCGATTTCCTACGCTACCAGATTTTCTGAGAAGTAGTGGGTCTGGAACGGGGACCACTCAGCCTCGTTAGGATAACTGAGGATATATTTCAAGGAAATAGTGGCTCCAGTCTAGAAAACCGAAATTAACGGTCGTGGGGATTTTTTGTTGTAGAAAAAAATAAATATTATAAATAAAAGAAAGGCCTAGGCAATGCCCATCCGGCCTTCTGTAGCACATTCTTATAAATATCGTATTCAACATTAGCGGTAACCCCGCAGCGCTGACCACGCGACACCCTCTATCCGCTAAAGTTGGCACTAATTTCGCCGACAAGCGGCGGTCGCTCGGTCGGTATAGTTCGCTTGAAGACTAAAACCACGGAGTTTTTAGGGCATATTTCGGGAGTTTGCTTTATCTTCTTCCTCAGGAGACAATTATTATGATTTGTTGATTACCATGTAAGTCATTAAACGAACACCTGTTCGGAGTCATGGAGGTTTCTTGCCCAAGTGTAAGATTGCTCGAGCTTGACTCTGTCAAGTCATCCCCAGCTAGAACCGAGATTGAGAATGGTGGAGTTTTACCTGCCTTACCCAGGAACTTAAGAGCAGATTGAATTCGGGTAATGTTTGCTAGCATTTATTTCAGAACGTTTTGTCATCTCGTCTGCTGTCTAAATACATAAAAATTAAATTTATGAAACTATAATTTTAGTATGTAGCTTTTTATAATGTGGAGCTATGTCTATATCATTAAGGGAAGAACGTGGACTGAAGGTACTGTATTTGAGAACAGGGTGCTGAGGAGAAGAGTTCGACCAAAGAGAGAGGAAGTGACTGCACGAGGAGGAGCTTCATAACTTGTACTTTTCGACACAAGGCGTATAGTGTTTCCGCGGGAAAGCGTAATTATAATGATCAAGTCAAGGATCATGAGATGGGAAGGGCATGTAGCACGTATGGGGAGAAGACGAATGCATGTAGGACTTTGGTGTGAAAGACGGAAAGGGACCAGTAGGAATACCTACACGTAGGTGGGAGGATTTTTTTATTGCTAGTGGGGTGGGACTAAGTCCCTTGTACTGCGGCCACTTCTGGCCTATTGTACCAGCCCCAGATGATAGGTGAGGGTGATTGTGGAACAATTGGTGGAATGAAGATTGGCAGGGGAAACCGAAGTACTCGGAGAAAACCTACCCCAGCGCCACTTTGTCCACCACAAATCCCACTAGACCAGACCCCGGGAATTCCCTGTGCCTGGCCGCCGCGGTGAGAAGCCAGCGACTAACCGCTTGAGCTATGCGTGGCCCTAGGTTGGAGGATAGTGTAAAAATGTATCTTAGTGAAATAGAACGGGAGATTGTGGACAGATTAACCTCGATCAGGATAGGCACCAGTGGAGAGCCGTTGTGAACACGGTAATAAACTGGGTAACTGAGCGACTAATGACTTCTCGGGAAGGACTCGGCTCCATGGAGTTAGTTCCGCGACACACCTTCACAACGCGGTGCCAGGTACAGGGAATTCCTTTTTTTTTCTTGGCACTACAGCCCCAGTGGGCCTAGGCCTACCTCCATGAACTCCTTTCACTTCGGTTTTGCTAGATCTTACACATACGGTAGGACTCCTTGGGTGAGTGATCAGCTCGTCGCAAGACCTCTACCTGTAGACAAACATCCATGCCCTGAGTGGGATTCGAACCCACGAGCGAGCGAAGACAGTGCATGCCTTAGACCGCTCGGCTACCGTGACCGGCAGGCACAGGGAATATTTTACTGTATTTTACCTTCACTATGCAAGATTATTATTCAAATTATTCAAGTGTTTGAGCCCCGTTGGTTACAGTAATAATGAAAATTGAAAAAGAGAGATATATCAATCGGCCTACAATGTCCCCAAATTGCTTATGGCGGGAACAGTCAATTGCTAGAAACTCACGTGTATTAAATACATTCCAGGCAAGAGACAATGACCATTGACCAGTACAGAGCAAATAGTTTGTCCTGCAACAAACACGCAGCCATATTGATTAAGTCAATTAAACTGCAGTCCCTACAAACAGCAGTTCGCGTATCAATGACCGGGACGTGCACTAAATACGTTTGTTGTTCGCTGTATCGACTGACACTCCTTTCGTTTTATGTGCGACGAATGTTATTAACGATGATTGCATAAATTAAGAGAGATTGGCGTAAACACCAAGGCTTCATGTGTCGGCAGTGCAGATTAATAGAGCAATGTCATTAGTTTTAATTGAGATGGAATTATTCCGAGCTTGTGGTTTACACAAAACGTGCTATGAAGAATTGTAATCTAATCGCTGAGTGATACCAGGCCAAGAGCGAAAATATAATTGACCCCCATATTACAGGATCTTCGTTCTGCACTACATATCAGTTCAACTGGTCAAGATATTTCATACTGACACTGAATCGAACCGCGCATTACCGACATAAAAAGCTCATCACTGCGCGCTATTCTAAATCATTTCACTCCAACTCATAATGTAACGTGGATGCCCACAGCGTTTTTTTTTTAATTCGCTTAGTGGGGAGTGGAGTCCAGTTGGGTCGACTCGGCACGGCGGCCACTGGTTGGCCTGCTGTACATGCCTCGGG